GGGAAATATGTGTAGGAAAACAATTATACAATAAATTCCCGACATATGGACATATCAAAATATTTGTTAAATAATAGACTATGTTTTGTGCTAATTCCTAACAAACATACAAAATATAACTATAGATAAAGATAGTATATAATCACCCAATGACGACATAATAGAATAAACATTAATGGTAAATATGATCAGACCCTTTTTTATGTTCCATATCTATAAAAAATGTGTTATTGTTGACTCAACAGCGTTGTTAATGCATTGTTAGTAATCTTATGCAATCCATGTTAGAATATTAAAAGGTATGCTTTTTTGTATCCTAATTAAATTATTTCCAGACACTATTAAATTTTAAACGTCTAAATCAACATTCTATAGCTGAATTATTCTGTCGGGAATTGAAGTTATTAGGTTTATGTATGTGCGTCAACCACTTAGCAACGGAGACCCCACCTAACTTAACAAATAGGGAATTTAAGACATAATTGTAATAACTTTGTACATTTCTATATTTAATTTTTTTTAGCATAATACTATAACATAATTAATAACACAAAAGTACTCTTTTTATTAAATTTTATTTTGAGTATTCAAAAAAAATACAGTATATACGGTACTGCCACAGGGTCCAAACTTTTTTCAAATTTGTTTTAATTTTCTATTTATTAATTTTTAATAATAATTATTATTATTATTACCTACGTAAATTGTTTTACCTACGGTGATGATTTAAGATTTTCTTTTTAATTTATGAAATATGAAAGGGCTAAATGTGTATCGATTACATACCATATTTCCTGTATCATAACAGAAAAAAAACTAGATATCACTATCCTTGAAGCAAAAGGAAGGTGAAGAGAAATCATGAAATATGAAAACTGATGCATTGTAAAATCGACCTTGAAGTTACGACCGGTTACTTAGAAAATGCACGTCGGAAAATAATCATTATGGCATTATCCTTTGAGTTTTTTTTCTTATTATGTAATGTATCACACGTGTTCATTTTGTTTATTAATTATAGAGAAAAATACAGAAATCTGCGGCCAAATCCATAGACTACTAGAAGGGAGTGCTCCTTTAGAATCGCATTGGGACATAGAGACCATATTCTAATTCGTATCTCAAGTCAAAATCTCGTCTTGAACCTACACTGAGCTCTACCTTGTGTAGACTGTTTGTCTATGAAAGCACTACAAGTTTGAGAAGTTCTACCGCATACACATAGTCTGCGTCCAATATTTCTGAAAAACCTAGTATTTTAAATACTAAGTATTTTCGTATAAGGAGTATTTTCGCGTACTAAGTATTCTCATATATTAAGTATTTTTTCTAGTAGTGATTATAATATTACCGTTTAATACTTTGTACAGTTGTAGGTCTTAGCAAAATACTTATGGATTTTTTTATTGTTTTTAAAAAATATATTTAAGTGTGTGAGTATGATTAACTTGAATAACTTTAAAGTATAAAATCCCACCTGGCGAGTAACAGTGTCTTTTTAATGTTTTTTAAATATAATACATCAAAACATTTTACAGTAAACAAGTGATGTTATAAATTATTAATAAAATAAATAAAACATTAATACGAGGAAAACCTTATAATTACTCAATCACGCCTCTATCCAATAATTTATTATCTATGGCAAATGTCAGTTTGATACCTTAATGTCAAATGTGATGTGACATTAAATAATTATAGTGCGATCAGGTCTATGAATAAAATTATAAGAACTTAAACCCATATCTTCTAATCGATATTTTAACGTTTTTTTAATTATTTAATACTTTAATTAAAGTAAAGTATTTAACATTAAATTACGGTGATTATTACTTAATTACTATTATTATTTACTAAATATTTATAATAGGTAACAAATACTTGTATAAAAATGTGGCCCTAGTATACCTACGTCCACACGTACGTACGTTAGTATAAACGTAAAATTATACGAAATCACTATTAAGCTTATTAAGAGGTGATAACGTAATTAAGGAATAATCTGACAGGTATTTGGTTATACGATATTATAATCAAAATTAATCTTATTGCGGCATACCTACTTCCGTTTGGCTACGTAGAACGGATGAATGAGAAGCAGCTCAAGTATACAAGGTAACTGTGGATGGTGGAGTCGGGTTGGGTAGGCCTTCCAAAGACCAAATCCAGGAGGTACTAGGGAAAGGACAAGGTAAAAGTACCCTTCACCGATGAGCATGTCTTGAATGTCATAAAAGTGTCAGCAGTGGCGTAACAATAGGGTGGCAGGGCTTTCAAAATGCCACGGGCCCCCGACCCAAGAGGGCCCCTGCCCATGAGATATTATGTTCTATGGATGAATGTGAAGTCTCCAATACGCATTGGGCTAGCGTGGGGACTACAGACCATTCCCTCTCGCCTAAGAGAGGAGGCTTATGGCCATTAGTGGGACATATACAACGTGTAATTGAGTACTCTGAAAATCTCGAAGTTCGGTTTATACTGATAGGGCCCCATCAAAAGAATTTGCCACGGGCCCCAGATGGTATAGTTACGCCACTGTATGTCAGCGTAACAAGTGGAGATCCGTCTCTGCCTACCCCTTCGAGAAAAGGCTTGAAAATATATAAAAAATAATTTAATTTCCATCATAATAGTGTTAAGAAAATACTATTATTTATCAATGTGAATTTCGAGTAAAATATACAATACCAAATGTGTATTTCGTAACAGTATGTCAAATAAGTCATAACAAAGTTTTCTATTTAGCCCTAGAACAAAGAATCTCTAACATTAAAATATCACTTTGACATTAATTACTGTCCTCACTCTGTAATTACTCAGAATCAGCTGTCTTATTCAATAATATTTATTTTTAGTAGTAATGAAGGCTGTTTATAGTAATAGCATAATTATTTTTTGTAGGACATAGAGGCTGTTATGAATAGGTAGCGTCTGTGGGTAAATTTATTTCTTTCATTACTGGCGAAAATATACTTTTAATTTCTTTATATTACGTGTCAAAATTGACGTAATAATGTCTCAATAAGGGTAATCAAGCACAGCAGCGACCTCAAATCTCTCGTCTCTGTCCGCACAGACTATACTTAAGGACTTGAGCCTACAGATAAAAAAAATCTAGACAAATCTAAATCTGAAATCTACTGTTATTTGTTTCAAAATATTTAATACATACTTAAACTCCAGACCTTTATTCCCAACGTGGGGCCCATTCCCGACAGGAGGGCCACTTGATTATTGAGGGGGGATATCCGAAAATTTATTAGATTTATATGGAATCGGAATTTCAGTTTATCATTATATTTTTTATAAAAATACATAGTTTGTTTCGAAACAATTTCCTTCCTTTCCTTTCTTAGTAAACAATTATTGAAGTGAAACTTCTTTATCGAGGTTGGAAAAAAATTTAGTGTAACATTTTTTCGTTACGCGTCACATGTTTCGGTTACGCGCCATGTTGCTTTTTGAAGTCAAACTTCTTTAACGGCGTTGGAATGAAACTTCTTTATCCGACGTATGGGAGAAATTTTGTAGCAAATCGTCACGTTTTTCAATGATAGTAATAATTCTATTACAATTAATGAAATTCTATAATAATCTTCGTAGTAATGGTCTAAGATCCCGCTATACAACGACCTTCACCGAGATGCTTATTTAATGAAACTTATTTTATATATAATTTAATGTGTCAATAAATATAATCCATATGGGTTGCCTAGCAAATTTCAGTCCAGAGTATGTTTAATTAATTTAAAAAAAAAATATTTTTTTAAACATTTCACCGGTATGATTATTAGATAAATTCTATACCAATCGAACGTATGAAGCCCATAGAATATGCAAATGTTAGGTTGTTTTTAATCAATTAATTATTTATGTGTATATTTTTTTATGTGACACTAAAGTATATATACATCTTTAGTATGAAAGAAGGTTATAGTGATACATATATAATATACCCCTACCCTGATTAAAAATATTGATTGAAAAAAGTTCAAAAAAATTTACTACATGCAAATTATAAAAAAAAAATTTTTATTTTAATATTAATTAAACATACTCTGGACTGAAATTTGCTAGGCAACCCATATGGATTATATTTATTGACATATTAAATTAAATATAAAATAAGTTTCATTAAATAAGCATCTCGGTGAAGGTCGTTGTATAGCGGGATCTTATACTATAATAAGGTAAAATGAAATATTTGTATTCATGTCTATGATAATAAAAGCCTTTTGTTAAACTTTATCTAATTTAACGAATTTCTGTAAAGTTGCATATAGCAGATCATTTTTCGAAAAATAAGATCATAAAGAAGTTTCACTTCTTACGTGTGTACACCTAGTACACGCACAATTTTTTTTTGATATGACAAATTATATATGTTACAAGGTATAAGAACCTCTCGATAAATTATAAATGAAACAGAAGACACACATAGACAACAATGTGTAAGCCATTAATACACACTTGTAAAGTGGGTCGCTTAAATATCGAAATTTATGAAAAAGACATTACATTTAATACACTTTAATAAAGGGTAATTTTAACTTATTCAACACCTTTGGTTCTTTAAAAACGCAAATTACAGTACTTTAAGGAAATTATATAGAAAGGTGCTTACGTAAGTGACATTGTCTATGATAAAATATGCATAACCATTTTCCAAAGACAATTATATTTTTTATTAGAAAATAACATACATTTTTTCGTTTATTGTTGGATAGTTTTTTTTGATTAATGTTGCGTAACGCCTCGTGGGGAATTTCGTTTTTTTCACTAATATTTTTTCTGATCGCAGTTCTCGCAAAACTTTTGACACCAATAACACAGATTATTTACCAAAGATCTATCTTCGAAGCCGAAAGTTCATTCTTGCTTAAGTTAGTAACTTTCTTTCTTACATTCTTGTACTATATTATGTTTACTCGTCATTTTCCTTATATCTAATAATTTGTATGTTAAAATATAAAATAAAGGTAATATAAAAAACTCACCATCTTTCGGAGGGCTCGCGCATTGGGGGGCATAGGAACCTAAATGATACCCATAGGTATTCTGGTGCATGGGAGGGAAGGGGTAACCTAACGATCTAGGACTGGGGAATCCCGACGCTTCATGGGGGTTCTGTTGCCCCCCCGGACTCCCGAAATGGTGGGGATGCTGGTAGCCTCCCTTGAACCCATACCCGTGCTGTTGGAGCTCGATGAACGCGGACTTAGATGAGACATTCGTGGGGGTGGAGTTGGCGGAGTTTGAGATGTCGTGGGGGGTTTGCGTGCCCCCCAAATGGTGGTGCTGGTGCTCCAACGCCTCCTGGGTGGTCATGGCTGGTTGGGGGGTTGATGGGCCCCCCCCGTCCGCGGACTGGGGAGGCCCGAAGGGATCTGAGAAACTCAGCGTGGCCTGTTTTGTGTTTGGGGATTGAATTCGGGTAATTTTGAGGGATTTCGGATGCTCTGTTGTTATTTTGACCGCTTTGTGAGCCTGAAAAGAGATAAACAGTGTTAATATTTATTTATTTATTAAAGTTTACCACATTATACATAGTACTAAATCTACGGTATATGTTACAAACTCTTTTATCTAAAATGTATGACAATTTAAGAAATCGGTTTTAATAAATGCTTTCATTAAAACCATCTACCCATTACCGAATATATCAAGTTCCGGTTAGCTACTGTCAAACTCTACGATCAACCCTATTTTTTTTTTGTTAATTAAAAACTTATGACTTGAACTCTTTTTATATAGAGAGAAATTCACAGAAAAACCTAAATAGGTTTCATTCCGGAAAACTCTTAGTCTCTGGGGTAGCATAGCAAAATGTTCAATGTTGGTATTGTACTGAAAAGGTTAAAAAAATAAATCAGTGGCGCTACAACCTTTTCTTTTTAGGTCTCAGATTTCCGTATCTGTTTCATGATCATTTGTTAATTTAATAGGCAAGTAGGTGATCAGCCTCCTGTGCATGACACACGCCGTCGTCTTTTTGGGTCTAAGACATGTCCATTTCATTTTCCTTCACCGTTCGAGCAAATGTTAAATGGGCACATAGAAAGAAAGTCCATTGGTGCACAGCCGGGGATCGAACCTACGACCTCAGGGATGAGAGTCGCATGCTGAAGCCACTACGCCAACACTGCTCTAGTACTAAAAAGGTAGGCTAAGTAAAATCACATTAAGGAGAATCGTTCGCGGGGGCAGCTAGTATTAACTATATGTATTAAAACATCTAAAGAATAACAAGATGTAGTAACAAGAATTCTCATCAAACTGTGTTGAATATTTTTGACCACGCCCACCGGGGTCAGAGGTCGGTAAAACAATTTGTATGGCGACCGGTTCACAAATTGTCTATGGATTTTTTATTACAGCGTAAAAACTAATTGGTATTAGACATTTACTCGTTGAATGGAGTTTTATAGCCAAAATTTTCTGCCACACGTGGGTTTTAGATTTTAGGACTTCAGAGTCCAGACCTAGCAGTCTGTCAGTGTCAATGTCAGTGACAGTGACGTGTTTGACATACGGGAGTCACACTTGTCATTCTCGACTGTAACCTTTGCGGGTTCTACTTTACAGTACTACGAAGAAATTTATTTGCATAGGCTTGCAACGCATTCGCGAGCCCTCTGCCATGGAGTGTTTATGGCTATCACTTAACATCTGGTCAGCCTCCAGCCCGTTTGCCCCCTGTTCTATATATAGAACAGATTTTCTATAGAAAAATTACACAAGGACAGAGACGCATATACACAAGACTAAAATAAGATTCCGTGACAGTATTTTGACATAGAGTCTGGCTAATGAAATAAGATAACGAAAAAGACTGTATTTCTATGAAATTAAATACCATACGTATTTAGTATTTTACTATTGATACTTAAAATGACTAGCATTGCATGGAAAACTAAAACTATATTTACTATAAAACACAACTTTATTCGGAATAATCAAAATCCGAATCCAAAAAATCAATAAAAGAAAGTTTAGGCTATTATACCTGTTAACTATTCGGAAAATATATATAAAAGAAATAAAAATGATAATTGCATGAAGTATCAAGACAATAAATCATACTAACCTAAGAAATTCAATGACATTCTGTGTTGCCAACCCAAAGTTTTCAAATAATTCAATTAGCCAGACTCTAGAAGATTTTTACGAGCTGTGAAACTTCTTTTTCTCTATGAAGTTTGACGTATTTGACAGCTTTTGACGAGATTGTGACATTAGGTACGAATAGGACCACAAATGGTTTAGGTATGACAATTCGGATCCCGAACCCAGGACCGCTAGTTATATGATGACCCCTTGATGGCGGCTAGAAGGATCCCTAAAAAACTAATTGGAATCGGCGTTCAAAGATCCATTTCTCACAACGCGAGAAAAGTTAGACCAAAACAGGAATAAAACAATAAAAACCCTTTCGGCAAGTTTTAATTAGTGCTATCCTTTTTTATCCCTTTGGAAATGTATGTTTGTCTCATTTCTTTGGTCTTTCGCCGCGCGGCGCTTAGCACAGTTTAGTTAGACAGTTGGTTTATTAAGATAAAAATTTAGACACGAATCAAGTTCATTTTATGTATGAAACACTTTGTTTGAAACTGGGTAACAACTGGCTTTAATTGTTTAAACCATGAGATTATAACATTAGGGGTAGTGGGGTTGCGACGCTGGATTAACAAATAACTAACTTCCCTTATAAGTTCGTAAATCTAAGTGACAATTATGTTATTGGACATTACCGGAAACTAGAATGTTTAATCACAATTTACAAGTGTGGTAAAAACTAAAGGACTCATTTTGGATTCAAGTGTGCGATGATTTTGTGTACGCTTCTATTTATATTTATATATAACATATAAATGTTTTATAACTCGTGTCAAATGTTTCACAATTATCATATTATTAATTATTATAATTACTATGTATAATACAACCCCGTTTAATTTCCAATCATAACAATTTATATTTTTTTCTTATTATCCTCTTAGCTTGCTTCAGCACCAAATTTCTCTATCAATGGCTTTCTATCTCTCTTCGCTTCTAACGCTTCTATTTCTCCTTCCCTTGATCCTTGCTATCTAAGAATCCTAAGCATCCGCTTACATTTATTAATGTCTTATTTAAGTTAGTAAGTTATTTACAAACTTTTTATAGAAGTTGAACTGTGGATGTCCAGACGTTTAAATTAACAGCGACTGTTTTAATTAATCTGTGACTAAGGTCGGGTCAAACCGTTTTGTTTTTTTATCTGTTTGTTGATTGCTCATGCCCGTAATAATAATGTTTAAAACCAATTAATTGGTGTAAATTTTTATTGGGAATTATCGTCTGTCATTGGTTTTGTGAATCAATTTGAAATTGTTTACTTTAATAATTTTTAATATTCAACACTCAGAATTTTACCAGATTTAAACGCGTTTAAATGTCTTACAAATAAGGACATTTTTATGTGGCAAAGGCTCACCTGACGTTAAGTGATACCGCCCAGGAACACTCACATTGCCAAAAGGTTACGCAAGTGCGTTGCCGGCCTTTTAAGAATTGGTACGTTCTTTGCCTTCAAAGAGCGTACCCTAAGTCGAATAGATTCGGAAATACTTCAAAAAACGCTATTATTTATATGTATATCAAAATGTTTAACTGAATGTGAATAAAAATTTGACACAAGCTTTAAAAAATAATCTATGGTTAAACTAAGTGAATCCAAGTAAAAATATAAGTACAAGAGATTCGCGTGATTGTCGATGGTCATGCAAAGATAATCAAATGGGACAAGGTAAAGCTTGATGTGGGCTTAATCTTACATTGTCTGTGGACACGACATTCACGTAGGCCTTTGAGACTCGAATTATACTTTGTCACTTTCTAACATTAACAAAAAGACACTGGAGTGATAAGGACAAAATATGTATGAACATTTGCTCCAATTCGTACTCTTAATTTTTTATTTCAGTATATTAGAGCAGTGTTTGTGGCTTCAGCGGGCGACTCTCATCCCTGAGGCCGAAGGTTCGATCCCCGGCTTTGCACCAATGGACTCTTCACTTGCCTTAGACCCAAAAAGTCGACGGCCTGTATCACAGGAGACTGATCACCTACTTGCCTATTAGATTGACAAATCTGAGGTCCAGACTTAAAGGTTGTTGCGCCACTGATTTATTATTTATTTTGTATGTATTTTAATCGTCAACACAAAGACATCATTCAAGACGAACCTATCTTAATTAGTAATTTAAACCTAAACTAATTTATTTCAAAGGATATTTCTATGAAACTGTCCATTAACACTTCTTACAGCCTCTATTAAGGGACAGACTCTGTTCTTGTAAGATTTTCACTATACCACTGTTTAGCACTTAAGACTAACTTACTACATAAGTTAGAATTCCTTTGCTTAGGATAAGGAAACATTGCTTGTGGCGGCGTCCATGCGTCGGGTTGTCTCTCTCCCTAAAATATGGCGAGGGGGCCGATGGCTGTACACTTATGAACGTCAAAAAAAGAAATATACAATTAATGCTTCTAATTTTACATTTACTGCCAGTTCTCAAATCAAGGGCGTATAACGGAAGAGAAGAACTGGCAATAAACTCTCCGCCATTCTTTTTAATCGCCAAGTTTTTGTTTTACACAACGTTTGTAAGGAGCTGCAACCATTACACCATGTTCCACATGACATATTAAGTAATTAATAATAATCAAAAATACTAAGACGGTTAGGTATAGGTAAAAACTCGACCTGCGACACTTTGTTACCAACGCATGCTGATTTTTTTTATACTATACTGGATATCTGTATCAGCGCAAGTTTAGAAAAACTTATCGTATCTGGCAGAGTAGAGGGCACCAGGCCTCGAGGCCGATCAACTCGTTGGACCTATCAACTAAAGACCCTTACAAGTCTTTCCCATGTGCAATACTTGCAAGACATGGGAGCGTGGAATTTGTGAGCGCGACTGAAGAAGCATGTTGGTAATGAGTAACGTGCTAGATTCGTGTGTTATCTGTATCATTTCTATTTCGATATCAAACCTCCATACGCCATCATAACCAATAGAGGCGCTTAAAAACAATTAATTCCTAGACATATACAACCTTTTTATTCAAATTAGTAAGACGAATTCCATTTTCAAAAATTCAATTCTTATTGATCGAATTATTTTAATTCGCTGTCCACTCGACTTATTTATGGCCCTAAACCCTAGATCACTTAAGGTACTTGGCTCAATGAGCCATGTCGTTCTGTAAAGGGAGACGGGTTCCCACGTTTGTTTGATTCGCTTTTGTTTTACGATTGATTCTTAGTATTTAATATG